AGTACTCATCTTCTAATGTAAACTTCAAGTGTGAGGTGAGGTGTGTCCTGTTCCTCTGAGTGTATGCTAATATACATCAAAACACTGATAACTTTGAGGTAGTGTCACTCAGGTATTCTAACTGTAAAAGGCTTCCCGGCTTTGAGGGCTGGGCAGGAGCACACCTACCTTACACAGGGAAAAGAACTGGTTTGACGAAGTCGGATTATATGAGCTCTGAAGAGCATTCCTTTAAAGACACAGGCCACTCACTGAATATTAATGAATATGAGTGCGTTATAGGAAGTCTGACTTATCCATGTATTTACCAACCCATATTTGCCAATGATGCTTGGTAGCAAGTTCACATTAAACCTTTCAGTGGATAGTTGGATTATAAGGACGGCTGAAATGATTGTTCTTGCTGCCTGAGCATAGTCTCCAGTCTCCTTTTGTAATGAATGAGATTTGCTTTGCATTTACAGCAGGTGCTTGGATGAAGAATTGAACTGCAAAGCAGTTTATTTCATTAATATTTCCCATAGAATATAAAGTGCAAGAGCAGAATCCCAGAATAATGAGTCACATAATAGAAGTGAAGAAAAATAAAGACTGAAAGATTGAAGAAGCACATCTAAACTAATAACTCCAAAAGAGTCAAGTCTACACTATTTAGTCAAAGCTATATATTTAATACAGAATCACCTTGTAACCTTTCCAAAACAAAAACTGCACCTTTTTAATTATAAATGTTACAATACTGTAAGTATCAAGTCTAGACAACCGAGTGTTGCATCACAACCTCAGAGACAGAGCCCAAATGATAACATCGAGCTCTTTAAGGGAAATGGAAGCAACACTCAGCTCCTCAGTCAGCAGCAGTACCCACAGCGGTGGCTGCAGACACGCCCATTGGGGAAACTTTACTCTTTGTCCAAAGCCGTACCTTGTCCAGTCTTTTCTGCCAGCTGTCTTCTCGTTTCGTCATCAGCTCGATGCAGTGGGACAAAGTGGAGAGGATGCCTGCTGTGGTGGCTTTGAAAGTGATGGCTTCACCCTTAAAGTCTATCCCATTAATACCTTTAGGACTGGCAGGAGAAAACACTGGCACAGAGAGGAAGAGAGAAAGCAAGAACAAAAATAAACAATGGTGTTCACACTTACACTGAATTTGTTATAATCAAGCCAAGTAATGCAATGGAAAGTCAAAGAGTATTTACAGATAGACTCACATTTCTCTTTGCTGCCATTATTGTTGTGATTATATTCGCTGTCAGGTCTCGCAGAAGTGGGAAAGTCATCGTCATCATCCTCTACTAGTTAGAAAACAACAAGCAGTCATAGCTTCATCTCCCTGCCCTGCATAGTTATTAGTGTATAACTTATAATATTTTAAAACCTATTTCATGTTACTGAATAATCCACATCCACATAATTGCAGGTAACACATTAAATATCTTTGTGCAAATAAACAATTAGGGTTGTGTCTGCATTGTAATACAAATTCAATAAACATAGTACAAATAAAAAACCTGACAGCAAATTTAAACCCACATAATGTCTTGTTAAGTTATTGATCTCTGAATCCTTTCTCAATGAGCATTACCTACTCTCATACTGCATGAAACGGATAAAAAAAAGATCTCTGTTAATGTTCTGCTTTGCTGTGCCAGTAAACAACAAAGCCAACTCCCCCACACTGCTCCAGAGATCACTGTTTTACAAACAGAGGCAACTCAAAACAAATG